TCGTTCCTACAATTAATCACAACATTAGATGTGGCAAGAAAAGGTCTACCAAGTATGACAAGGATTTGGGAGCTAAGATTTGCAACTGGGTGAGTATCAAACACAATAAAGTCAACAGAAAAGTAAAATTTATCCACTTGGACTAAAACATCCTCTACTACTCCCTTTGGTGTTCGGATGCTATATGGTCCGCCAGTTGAAGTGTGATTGGAGTATGCTTTAATTCTTTGAACTAGAGTTATTGGTGCATCGAGTAAGGTAGGAGGTTGACACTTGCTTCCAAATCAAGGAGAACTTGCTCCACCTGGCAATTCCAAATTGTTATAGCAATGGTAGGGTATCCAAGATCCTTAAACTTTGGTGGGGTGTTGGTCCTCAAGATTGAGCTCACTTACTCGGTGAGGAATGCCTTCTTGTGGGCATTTAATCTTCTCTTCACGGTGCACAAATCCTTTAAGATCTTAGCACAAGACGGGATTTGCTTAATGACATCAAGGAATGAAATGTTGATCTTTACCTACATAAACATCTCAAGTATATAAGCATAATTAGCCACCTTGATGGGTGGCTTAAAACGATTAGGAAAAGGAGTAGGCATGGGAGAAACAAGCACACTTTCATCAACCAAATTTTCTTTCTCACCCACCTCATCACTCACCTCAGCCCTTTTGGTTTCAGCCTTGGTCTCCTTTTCTTTTAGCAATGTGGCCTTGGGTGATACCTTTGGAACTACGGTCTTATCAATTTGTTGGCCACTACTAAGGGTGGTGACCGCCTTGAGTTGGTCACAACTCTCTTTGGTGGGCTCGAATGACTCAATCACATGTTGGCTTTTAGGGTTCTCTTGGGGTTGAGTGGGGAAGTTCCCTTTCTCTTGTTGTGATAACCCTATGTGATTGGTAATTTTTGTGAGTTAAGCCAAAAGGTTGTTGTTAAAGGCGGTTCATCTTTGGATGAAATTGTAAAACACATCCTCCAAGTTCCTCCTTATGGGGTGGTTGGTTGGTGGGAGGATTGGTTGGTCCTTATTGGGAAAGACATTGGGGTGGTGGACTTTGGGAGAAATTTTGTGGGGGTAGATTTGATGAATACCCTTGTGGATTGGACCAGGGGTATTCAGAGTTGGATGCTTGCCCTTGGCCTTGGTAGTGACCTTGCTTAGGAGGCAGGGGAGGTGTATATGCATTTGAAGTATGAGGAGTGGGATTCTCATTTCTCCAACTAAGTTCGGGTGATTACTCTAACCCAAATTGTAAGTGTTTGAGTGTGGGGAGAATGATTGCCTCGTTTGGCTAAAGGCATTGACTTGCTCATGATACACTTCCTTAAGTGTCAGAATATTAGGGCATTCTGATATGGAATGCTCCATACTCTCAAAATTTGAGCAAGAATCCTCTTTCTTGGAAACGTTGGACACCTCGTGCCTCCTATTGACCTCAAGTCTCTCAACTTTCCTAGAAAACTTAGAAATTTTTGAAAGTAGGTCTTGCCGGTCTCTCAAGTCATACATCCCTCCCCCTTGTGGTTGATTACTACCTAGAGACGTCCTAGCTACATCATTGGGATTCGTAAAGTTCCAAGATTTTACATTTTGGGCCAATGTACTAAAGTAGTCGAGGGCCTCACTGGGGTCTTTGTTCAAGAACTCACCATTACACATCATGTCAATGAATTTTCTATAGCTCGGTGTGATTTTTTTATAGAAGAAACTTACCAATTGCCACGATTCAAAACCATGATGTGGCAAAGATCGAAGCAATTCCTTGTAGCGATCCCAACAGTGATAGAATTACTCATTGGGCTTTTCCAAAAAGTTTTGAATTTACTTTTTAAAGTTGTGGTTCTATGCACCGGGAAAAATTTATTCAAAAACTTAGAAAGCATTTGAGCCAAATAGGTGACGGATCGAGGTTTCATGGAATTCAACCATGTTTTGGCTTTTTCCTTAAGGGAAAAGGGAAAAAATTTCAAATGAGCTATGTCTTCCATAACGTACTTAGTGTTGAAGGTTACAACTATGTCCTCGAATTCTTTGATGCGCAAGGATTCTCCCTTTCAATTCCTTGGAATGTAGGGAGTAGTTGCAACATCCCCAGCTTAACTAGGAAGGCATGGGCTTGGACTGGTAGGAGAATGAATGAGGGAGTGGTGCTATAGGTTGGTTAAAGGTAATCCCTCATTGACCTTGCTGGAGGATCAAGTTGGATGTTGTTCCCTTCATTCATAGGAGGGGGGAATTACATTCGTGGCTTACGCATTCTAGGTTATTGTGCTCCCCCACCACTTTGCATGTTCAAATTGGCACCTACATTCTAAAAATTATCACCCGCATTATCGGGTGGATCTTGGTCAGTGTTCATATTAGGGCCCAAGGGTTGTCTAACTAATCAATTTTGTTTGTCTTGTCCCCACATATAACAACTATCTACAATTGACAATGTAAACAAATAAAAGTATGTACAAGAAGCAACGTACCTCAACCCATGATGAAAATCACGGGACTTATCTCTATTGTCAAAAAATCACCTTCTTAATTCAATACTTGCCTGCCCTTACAACGACGCCAAAAATGTTTGATAGTTTTTGTTGTATTCCCTTAACCTTTGAACTAGAACCCTTAAGGTGTATATGGCTTTTATGTGTGGGTGAGCGTCACTCTCACTTAGGTTCAATGTAAGCAATGGGAAAATGAGTGTGTGGAATGAAATGTGTGTGGGTGTGTGTGAAAAAAAATGCTTCCCAAGCACAGAGAGACTTTTGCATGTCGTGTTTTACTTAGAAATCATATTCCAAGGTCGTCTCCTCAGTGAAGGAAGTGAATCGTGTTGAAGGTAATTTTAGTGAAAAGGGTAAAGTGTAAAAATCTTTTGATGTTTGAGTTTGGTTTGTGATTGTGTTCTTAAAAAAAATGAAATGGAAAACAAGTGTTGGCTAATCCGAAGGGGTCATTACAATTGGAATGCCACCTCAACTCAAAACCTTCCTCTAATGGTGTTTAGATGTTTGATTGATTCATGGGAAGCGAGGACTAAGATCGAGGTGTGGACCCAAGCATAACTCGTGACAAGTCTATAGGATATGAAAGACTCACAACCACGTCCACACTCAACCCAGTCAAACGGAATCAACATACACTACGAGGAGGAAAGAAAATGTGTTGAAATGGCATACTCAAGAGGAGTTCTCCTTTGGATTAGCTAACTATAAACTTAGCTACTCATATTCAAAACAAAGACATATGTGAAATGGAGAGACATTGTAAAGAAATGGAGCTTAGAACTAAAACTAATGCAAGAAAACACAACTATAGGGAAATGCATTTAATACCCATTTAGAGCAGGAAATGTAGAAAACTCAAATACATTAATGGTAGAAGTTAAGATACTCAACTAAACTTGAAATGTACTGGAAATAAATGGCATTAAACACAATAAAGGAAGCTTACACAAATCTTACAAGAGATTGCAGGATAAATGGATGGAAGAAATGTAAAAATCTAAGCTTTCTCTCTCTAACTATGTCTTTTACCTAAAACTTCTCTCTCTATAATGCAATATGATCTGAATGAATGTGTCATGAATAATGTATTTTCATCCATAGTGATCTCCATAGGTGAAAGATAGGCTTCTAATCAAGAGGTGGGCTAATTGGATGGAATGCTACATGCTAGGATAAGCATGGTCTTCCCCTCTCTTGGTCTTGCTCTTCTCTCTCCTCATCATTAATGCCAAGGCCTTCAAAGTCCAACTAGAGGTGAGGGGAGGCTTGTAAATGTGTAAGGGATGTCAAAGGACAAGATGGAGAGGTGTAAGTGGGACCCCCAAATGGCAGAGCTTGAGTTGCAAGCTGTCTGGGCATTCTGGGTAAAACCTTCCAGAAGGTCGACACAAACCTTCCGAAAGGTTTGTGCAGGAATAGTTAAATGAGCATTCTAGTAGGTAAAATCTTTCAGAAGGTCTATACAAACCTTCTGGAAGGTTCATTCCAATAGACAAAACCTTTTGAATGGTTTATGGCAGTGAATAGGCAGACCCAGTGTAAACCTTCCGGAAGGTTTCTAGCCAAACCTTCCGAAAGGTTTTCATCCAAAATACAATTTTCTTGGTTTCTTCACCCTCTAAGCCTTCCTTTAAGCCATCTCCTCAACTTCATTGATTTCAAACACTTCATTGGGGGTATAACTCCAACCTTACGCCTTTTCACCTACATTTACACAAAACTCCATTAAAGCTAAGATTAAACACATTTCTTCCCAACTTCATGACAAAGGCAAGTATAAAATGACATTTTAGCATACAATATATGTCATGTTTTTGTGATAATCACACACCGTCTAGACGGTGGTGGTGGCGTCTAGACAGTACTACCTATTATAAAAACCAAGGGATCAAAAAACTTGTAATTAAAAAACATAAAAATATATAAATTACCCGAGCATAAATACTAGCAAAAAGATTCAAACTTTATTTTTCTTGTCTTTTCCTTTTCACAACTTCCTCACAAACCAGTTCATACAATTTTAATCAAGTCATCTGATGCAGCTAATAATACAATGATACATGAGAATTCAAAAAATAGAATCAAAAAATTTCAATAAATCAAAAATCAATAGACTACGATTAGATAATCGATAAATAAAGAAATTAAAATTTCCTTTAATTTATGTCACAATGACAATTTTTTGATAATAGTAGACCTCCTTTCAAACTAAACTTAGTAGCCACACAAACAAACGTTTAAATATAAATTTTTGCTATAGTTTTGTTTACAAAACTTATAGCCTCTGCAAACTCAATTCTCTTTGGAGGAGCTTCTATGTCATCAATCAAGGTGATTTCATAATGGTTTGGCAAGAAGGTATTAAAACCATAAGTAAGATTATTGTGCCCTTTAAATAATTCTTTCATCCTCGCTATGACTCTAGTATTGTCGATAATCCAATAAACAAGTCACTGAGATTAATTAACAAAGTGTTTCATGCAATGCCCTATTTTACCATCTTAGCCCAAGTATGGGCACATAATATACCTTTTAGCTTTAAAATCTTTGATTACATCAAGGAATATATGATCATGAAACACGCCATTAACTTTCTTCAAGTATGTTAGTGCCTCCTCCTCATCTCCTCCATTACCATTGCCACCGATGCCACTATCGTTGCCTCGTTTAGGGACTTGTGGTTTCCCATAGCTTCATTACCATAAAAATAGGGATTTAAAGTGAAATTTTGAGAAAAACAATCACAATAGAATAAAACACACACTAACACCACACCTGTTGTGAAATGCAAATGCAAATTATCTACATCCATTTTGTAAACCTACTACTCGTAGGTGTTGTTGCACATTTTGTATGAGGATATAACCTAATCACAGTTTCTTATATAGATGGCAAAAGGGGTGTCAACAAACTTCTAATTACAAAGTATTTTTGTCTCAAACACAATATAGCAATTAAATTCCAATAAATCAATAAGCAATTAACATCAAATCAACCAAAAAGAACCCTGAAAATCAACCTATATGAAAAATATAATCTACCAAACTTAACACATAACAACACAGGAAAACATTTCATTGTGTATTTCCATTTTTTTTCTGTTTGTTAGTTTGTTTTTTAATATTGGAGCAACTTAGAAATATGGTGGGGGATGTGTGGAGAAGCAAAAGATAAATAAAAGAGCAAAGTAACAATATTCACTTGAGGTAATGTATGACCGCAGTATTAAATCCATAGGTAGGAATAAAAAATAGGAACCTCTTTAATGGATATTATCTAACAGACAAATGCAAAGGAGCCTCAATGGGTTTGGTAGCACAATGAATATTGAAAGATGAGACAATTTGGGAGAAAGATATTGAAATAGAGTGAAAGTGAGAGATAGTGAGGATTAGAGGAGGGATGTGAGTGAAATAAGGCTAGAAAAATAAATATACAATAATAGAACCAAAATCAGTGAGTCAATTATAAGCCCAATCTCTATTATATGTTGAGTTATTGGGTAAAACTCAACATATAGCTAATATTGTAACAATTTTTTTGTCATCAGATTGATAGATCATTTAAGAATTGTCAGCTATTAAAGAAGCTCATATAATAAAGGCAAAGTCTACAATCTCATCTAACTTAATACAATTGCAAATAAATGTAAGTATTCCCTATAAAATTATTAAAAAAAGGAAGCAAACTTTTCCATAGAAACAACATTTATTAAAGTAGAAAAAAAATTTACACGTCAAAATATTATGCTACTCCAGGAGAGCATAAGTCACATCCTCTAATTTAATGTGGAAATATCAGTTTTGCCCCAAAAATTACATCAACAAGACAACAAAATGTAATCATTCTAATTATTGACAGAAGAAGAATCATTCCCAAGAGCAATTATCTTGATGGATTCTAATTTTTGTTGCTACTTTTATTGTTCAAACCTCTTTTTTTCATTTTTCTTGTTTTTTACCCTCTGTCCAAAGAGGGGAAGTTGGAAAAATTTCCCAATGTTGTTTTAAGGAAGCACAACTCTGAATTATTTCCTATCTATTCCAAATTCTTGTAACAGATAATCAAAAAATTCTAATTATATTAATCATATAGACAAAAAGGAAAAATAAAATAAAAGAGCTTACAATTCTTCGTGAGAGGAACCAAACTGTCGTTTAAACTATGAATTATCATCACTATCCTCTCATATTCATTTCATCTTTGGAAAATAATAGAAAACAACATATATAAAACCAATTTCTCGAAACAAGTCAGAGAAAAATTTCCTTCTGAAGTTAAAGAAGAAGGAGAACAAATCTAACCATAAAAAAAATGAAAAGAATTTTTGAAAAAAATAATAACCATTATTTTATTCATTTGGGTCAACACTTTTGAAATAACAAATTTTTGTTTCTCTTTCCTATTTGGTTTGAGAACCAATACAAAGTTTGAGAGAGAGAGACACGGACTAACAGTCAAAAAATAGAATGAAAGACAATGAACAGGTGAGATAGGAAAGTAAGTGGAGGTTATGGTTAGGTTTAACATGACATTAATTGGGGAGGACAAATATGGCATAGTTGTGTTATTGAATGATAAAAATGAAACAAAAATTGGTTTTTCAACTATGCTGGTATTTTAAAGTAATATAGATTTGTCTAATGGATTCATTTTTTGCTTTAATTTTGTAGGTTGTCTCTAAGTAACCCACTCATTCACCATCAAATTCATGAGTAGGCTTTTGAGTTTCAAATTTTTTGGGTGTCTTGGTTGTTTTGTTTCTTAATTACATGGGAGGGATCTTTGAATTTAGATTTTACATGTTTTGTTTGAGATTTTAAGTATTTTGGGTTTGATATTTTGCATGTCCTAAGATTTTTGTTTCTCTATTCCCTAACTTTATGTCATCATTATGGCACATTACAGGGATATCAACTGAATATCCAAAGCAATAGATGTGTGTAGTGAAAAGGTCAAAAATATTAAGGATGTTGTCATAATTTACACTTTTTATAAGGGTAAACAACTCAAATAGCCCCTGAACTTTAGTCTTTTTTTTTTTAAATTGCCACATGAACTTTTCAGTGTTTCATGTATTATGTACAGTTGGGTGCCAAAATCTCCCTCCCATTCTCCTCCTGACCGCATGCTCTATATACCTTCACCATTTATCTCCTTCCCATTGTTTGATGCATGCTATGTTCGAAGGTATCAAAACAACTTGGTTATTGCGGATAGTGGATGTTGTCTTCCATCCAGAGCAAGTGTCCAGTAAGTATTCAGACTCATACCTATAATTTTTTTTCTTGTTTCAGGAAGAAGTGTAAAAATTTTCTCTTGTTTTTTTAAACTCATGGCTGAAAATTTGAACATTCAGAAGCATGTGGAATACGTTGGGTATTGGTGAAATTTTTGTCTTCTTGGTTATTGCCCATTAAGTGTTGGGTATCAGAGTAATTCTTTTTGGAACTCAGTACAATTTTTTTGTGTTTTTTATGCATTATTTTATCCAGATGTTTTTGGGTATAACATCTAACATGCATTATTTTATTCATTGTCAATATTTTACTGTAATTTTCATTAAAGTATGGTACATAGTATGTACTTTGTATTTTATTCTTGTGGTGGATTTATAATTTTTTAGGAAGTCTGTACCCCAATTTCTTTACTATAGAGATGCATTCGGGTTGTAAGTTCATGTCCCACAAAGTATACTTAGGAGGGAAAGTTAATCATTTTGAGTTCAAACTATCTATGGGGTCTTAGGCAACCATATCTTTAAAGATAAAGAAGGTTGTAAAATTTGTTTACGTCGTATGACTTGTGAAACCCGGGAAACTTAAAACATAATTAGAGAGGGCAAAACGGTAATTAGCTATTACAGTTCAAGTTGAAAATCTAAAATTTTCTAGATCTTCGATGATGAAATAGACCTCACTATTGAATTCATATTTCTAATTCTAGTCACCTAATCAATTTTCGTTGAATTCTGAGACAGTCAGATTTTTTGCGTTATATGATGCAACCAAGTGTCGCGCGACTAAAATAAACACAATCAGATTTTATTCACAGAACCCAAAGAATAATTTAAATTTAGTTTAATAAAAATATACTAAACTTAACAGGACGTGAGATTTAATTGATTCAGAATAAAATTGAACCAATTAAAGTGGGACGTGTGGTGCATTGTGAGCCAATCATTTAAAGGGGAAAATCAAAATTTTCTCCATTCTTGGTCTACATTCTGAGAGAGAGAGAGAAAATGTTCTTCAACCTCCTCCTTCTTTCTTCTTTGATCCACAAAGATCCAACCGTTGGATCACTACAGGCTAAGAGTTAAAGTTGTTCTACGCAACCATACCAAAGATCGTGTTTCTATCAAAAATTTCAAAGGCAAGAATTTAGGGCTAAGGCTGAGAAGGCTTAATTTGGGGTTCTTGGGACTTCTGCTATGCATGCTTACGCTACATGATGTAGGGTTTCCTCATAGCTAGGATTATTTCCATCTTAGGGTTATGATATGAAATGGGTAGGGATGAAATTTCATGTATTAGTTCACACGCAGTGTAGCTAAAATATGGAAAATGGGTATGAGAATATGCTAAAACCATTTCTTATTTGTTTTGGGTTTGATGAAATTGCTTGAATTGAATTTGATGAAGTTGCTTGGGTATGCTATGTGTTTACATTTTATGCCTATTAAGTGTTTGATATAATGCTTAGAAATTCAAGTATGTTAATTGGATTGATATCACATGTGACATGCTTGGGAATGTTGTGAAAAATTGACATGTTTATTATATATTTTATGATATGATGAACATAATAATATGAATTGCAATTATGCATTTTAATTGCTTGTGCATGGGTAACATCACATTCATAAGCATCCAGCATGAGTATGGGTGCGTGTCCATGTTTTTACTCAATCACCATTCTTCGTGAGTTGATGCGTGGGCTTGAGAAAGTTGGACCTAGGTCTAGTTGAGTCACACCGGTTTGCGTAGAAACTTATGCTGGGCATAACAAGGCATAGATTCTCCTACAGGTGCAAGGTTAGGTTACTTGGTTCACTGTAAACCCCTATACTTTTATTTTAATATATAACAAGTAAATATATGAAATTTTTTGTAATCAAACTTGTATCAACTATATTTGATGTACAAATGTATGTTGTATAAGTTTGGGTTGGTTTTAGAAGGGTTTGGAATGGATAAGAAATGAAAAACAAAGGAAACAGACAAAACTGAACAGACAGTACCAGTATTGCGTACCGGTACGCCCAGAAGTTACCATACCGGTACGTTATTATCCAGAGAGTTTACCATACCGGTACACTCTGTAAATTCTAAAAATTTTAAATCGTGATCTGTGGCCCACTTTTTTACCCTATAAATACATAATGGCACCTCCATTAGCTCCATTTCAACATTTTTAACCTTAGGAAACCTTAGAGAGGAAGAAAGAAAGGGAAAAACACAAGATTAAAGGGGATTTGCACATTGGATTGGATCAAAGCCCTAGTTTTCTTTCAAAAACACAAAGGTAGGGATTTTCTTCCATTCTTGTACATTGACGCTATGGCATTTATATGCATGTATGGGAAGCAACCAACATACATGAGAATATGTGTTGTATAATTTATTGTTTTTCTTTAATCTTGACATTTTTATTCTTTTCAATTAACTTATTGCCATTGCGTTAACTTG